ATGACCATCTGGGCTGCTCCATTTCTTAGCTACTGAGAACAGTGCAGCAATAACCACGGTCTGCAGACGTCTCTGTGGTAGGACTGGATCCTTCCACCAAGAAGTGAGGTAGCTGAGCCATATTGTAGATTTATTTATTTATTTATTTAGATTTTTCAAGACAGGGTTTCTCTGTAGCTTTGGAACCTGTCCTGGAATGTAGGGTTAAGACAGCCCCTTTAGGGGGCGGGGTTTGCCTCGGGCGAATGCCTGCGAATAAATGGGCGTGCAGCTCAGCGGCTCAGCTCTTTTTCCCTCCCTACCTCCTGTACTACGCTGAAACTCAGGTTCTGTAAGTTTATCATTAAAGTGGTAAATATTCTTTGATATCTGCATTGCATTTATTTTGCACGGATACAATTGGCGCCCAATGTGGGGCCCGAACCCACGACCCTGAGATTAAGAGTCTCATGCTCTAGGCAGGGTTCTTTTCTTATCTCCACAGGAAAATATTCATCTCCAAAGAATTTAAGGGACCCTGAATATTTAATTACTGATGGATGGAAAATAGTTACGACCCACTAAACATCAACAATAAAATTCTATACATATTGTAAGTATTGATTTTATATATATATATATATATATATATATATATATATATGTTTTATTGAACACTTCTTTATAAATGTGTAGAGCTGGTTTTGGAGTTGGACTATGGCTCAGTCCCTCTTCAATTCCAAGCCTGTTAATAAGGGATATTTCAGAGTTTCTGTCTCAGGTCAGGAGCCATGACACGGGACAGAATAAGAATAATTTGATACTTGATAAGCTTTCTTTGCCTTTCCTCATATCTTTGTCTATCTTTATATGTCGGTATATGTCCTTGTTGTTAATGTTTAAATTTCCCATAACAAGCAACATATTTTCCTACAGTAATCTTTGAAGTTTCCAGGATGAAGATGGGGCCCCACAACATCAACTCAATCTGGTTTTTATGACGTCATGAATTTTTTTTTTTTAAGCACTAATTTTAGACCTGTTTTTTGGTACCAACTGCAAGAGACAATTTCGTATGATGCACATTTTTGACAACGCTCTGGCCGGACCTTCTCAAAACACTCAGAGACTAGTTATAATTTTCTTAAGTCAAAGGTTAATTTGGGAATTTTACCATCATTTGCTTTCACAGGGGGCCCTAAGAAGAACGTCGCCCCCATGTCAGCTAGAAGCAATCTAAGAGGACGACGTCCCCTCTCCCAACAGAGTTTGCCCACAGGGTTAGGGACATCTTTTAGTGGTTGGTTTAGGGTTGAGGGGATGGGGAGATATTGTATGGAATTAGGGGTATATTAAAAAAAAAAGAGGGGGATTAACTGGTTTGATGGGATGATTGGTATTTGTGACTTACTGTTTTTAGAAAATTATATTGGTACTGTTTCTTGTATATTGATATATTGAATATTGAATGTGAGTGTTCCTACCTCTACTTTTATATAAGAGTATGCTTATATTGTATGGATACATCTATCATATCAAAATGTACATTTCTACCTCTGGTACTATTTATGTAATAACATTGTTTACATTCGATAAGTAATGACATTGTTTACAGGTGAAGATCATTGTCTTCATATATTGCACAGTTGTTTATTCTCTTAGTTTCAAATTAGATAGGTATTGAGAATTATATGTTTGTCATATTTATTTTTAGGATAATCAGATCTTTTAAATACATAGAGATTCTTTTTAGTATAAATAGTATAATCTTCAGCCTCTTTGAAGAGCTGTAGAAAATGGCCTTTAATCTAACCTAGAATTCTGTGCCAATGAGACACAATTACTCCTGGCAACACCACTCTACTCCCGAGAGAACGTTGAGCACCAAAGACACTCCACTGGGAGCTTGTCTTCTTGGCAGAACTGGCCTTTGGGTTAAGAAAAGCCCATACCTCAACTACTGACTAAAATATGAAACAGGATTGTCTTATCTTGCCAAGACAGGGTAGGATAATTCTAAGAAAGTTCCTTGCATTTGATAATGGTATGTCAGTTATGTTAGGCCTTAGCCAAAGTTGGTTGACTCAACATTGCAAACGAGATTTTGGGTGATTGCCCAGGTAGTCAGTTATCTCTGTCATTTGTTGCACATTTTGGATATCTCTCATTTGTTAAGTAATATTTACTCCCTTCTCAGATCTTTGATGGAGTTGAAGATTATTTAATTGTAGTTACTCTCTAGCAAAACTTTTGTTCTCAATATTGTTTGTTATATTTATCATTTGTTATTATTGTTTATAGTTATATTTGGTTTAGTTCTGCCTTATTTAGACAAAAGGGGGAGATGTAGGGTTAAGACAGCCCCTTTAGGGGGCGGGGTTTGCCTCGGGCGAATGCCTGCGAATAAATGGGCGCGGCTCAGCGGCTCGGCTCTTTTTCCCTCCCTACGTCCTGTACTACGCTGGAACTCTGGTTCTGTAAGTTTATCATTAAAGTGGTAAATATTCTTTGATATCTGCATTGCATTTATTTTGCGCGGATACACTGGAACTAGCTCTTGTAGTACAGGCTGGCCTCAGACTCACAAAGATCCGCCTGCCACTGCCTCCTGGGTTCTAGGATTAAAGATGTGTGGTACCAAGCCAGGCTTCATAGTTCTATTTTTAGCTGTTTGAAACCCTCCACACTGGTTTCAATGGCAGCTTCACTGATTTGCACATCTGCCCACCATAAACAGGTCCCTTCCTCTCCAGCATTTGCTGTCATTGCTTCCTGGTTGGTGGTCATGACTGGGGAGAGACGGGGTCTCAGGGCAGCTTTACTTTTCATTTCCTGATGTCTCAGAACATTCCACACTTTTTCAGATATTTTTCGGCCTTTGTGTGTCTTCTTTTTAGAGATCTTCCTCCCACTTAGTAACTGGAAGACCTGAGGTTTTCTGGTGTTGAGTTTTTGCAGATTTTCATATTCTGGAGGCATTAACCATTCTGTCTGTAGGAAGCTTCTAAAGGTTTTGTTATTGTTAACAGCTATTTCTAGGCATTTGTTGCTCTTGAGAAAACAGACACATGAAGAAAACCACATTAATGTTCAAGCTAAGGCATGCCAAGCCACGTCTGATGGGAAATTTCCTGTTGAAGAACCTGGTGTCCTGGTGTCCTCATCTCCCCCCCCTCTCTCTCTCTCTCTCTCTCTCTCTCTTCTATCTTTCTTTTTTCCTCAGGGTTTCTCTGTGTAGCCCAGGCTGTCCTGGAACTTGCTCTGTGGACTAGGGTAGCCTCGAACTCACAGAGATCAATGTCTCCTTAGTTCTTTTCTCTGCCTGAGAGAGAGGATGCTGCCCCACACCCCACATGGCTGAACTAGGGATGCTGTGTGATAGTCTGATTGGAATCCTGCAGAAGACTCTAGAAAAGGCTGGGCTAGGATGAGCTGGCAGAAGGCCAAGGCACTGCCTTCCTGATGTGATCTTAGCCAATCAGAAAAAGATTCCTGGTGACACTTTTGTTGCCAGATGAAAAGCCTGTGTGAAGAGGCCCAGGAGAGCTGGAAATCCCCTGTGTGACAGACTTCCCTCACAGCCCAAGCCCAGGCACTTCCCCCTTAGGAAGGGAGCAGGAGAGGCAGAGACCTCAGCTTATTGTGTGGAGGTCTGAGGTGGGGGTGAGGACACCGAGAGCATCCATCTCAAAGGTCCCTGTATGAACATGTTTGTCTGCCAACTGTTCCACACTGAGTTTGATGATCCTCTTTATGCTCCCTGTCTAGGCTGAGGAGATCTGTGTCCACCCTGAGCACCACAGCTGCTGGGAGCCCAGAGCCGTCCCTCCTGGTCTCTATATCAGTGTGTGCAGTGTGGGCCCCAGCAATGCTGCAGTTCACCTGTGCTGGCAGACCCCACTCGGAACGTTCCTACTGCCCCGTCTCTACCCCTTCCCCCTTTTCCTGGTCAAGTCTGTCTTCTGGTCCTGTCCCCTGTTTAACTAGGATCTAAAACGATAGAGATAGCATAATGGGAGGAGGGAGAGAGACCTATTGTTTAGTCGCTGGTGTTGCCAGGCACTGCTCCAGCTGACTGATCAGTAGACTCGGTAGTGTGCGCAGACCTGAGCAGACAGGGTGGGAAGCAGGCAGTGATCACTGACACTCGGCTGGCACCGTGTGACAAGCCTGTGAGCAGCCGTCCTGAAGCAGCTGCTCCACATCTTCAGCTTCTTGTCCTTGACACCAGGTGACTGCAAGTGGAGCCCTAAGAACTTATGGTTGCCTTTGATGACATCGTGGATGTGTGGAAGATTTAGACAGCAGAAGAATTTCTAAGAGAAAAGGTGAATTAGTTAACTTCTCAAGTATTTTCACTGGAATATCATGAATGCAAAAGATTCCTCCATGAGGAAGATTCCTGAGCCAGCAGGGCTGGGCCTCACACTGACCTGCTGTTTCCAACACTCACACATGGAAGTTCTCATGATTAACCATGTCACATCACTCTTTCCTGTGTGCACAGGAAGCGTTATGTATACAGTGGTCAGAGCATGGTTTACATTTTACAAGAATTCCAAGGTTAGAAAGAGGTTCAGTGACTTGTTGACTCCCAAGAACTCTGTTTTCTCACCTGAGGTTCCTCAGTGTCAGACAAGACAAAGGACAATCTCTGTCCGCTAATACATGGTTGCTATTAATTCTCTACTAAACCCCTCAAGAATCACAGTAGTTTTAAAGTAACTATCTCAAAGTTATCTATACTTGACTCACTTTTTTCTTTTGTATCTTTAAACCCCAAACACAGGCAGTCTGCAGTTTGGACAGCTTTACCCTGTAACTGAGAGAAATTGTCACCTCAAATGTTCACCCAGTGGGCTCCATGAAGATACAACCATGCACAGCACAGAGAGCCTTTGTAAACAATGTCTGCCCAGAGACTGGTGACACGCTTCAGCTCGGGTGCTGATTGGCTCCTCTCCTGGGACCAACCCAGTACTCACAGAGGCTTCTACAGATTTTTGCTCTCTGAAGGGCACAGCAGGTGTGCGTCCTGGTGGTTGCCATTACCTTTTCCTTAGAGATGGCTGTGCAGGTCCCCAGCCTCCTCCTCGCAGCAGCTGCGGTGCTGATGGTGCTGAGCAGCCCGGGCACCGAGGGCAGAGACTCCCCAAGTAAGTGCAGGGTGGGGGTCTCCAGAGCCAGTACTCTGGGGAACTGGATCTCGGGACCCTGGGGATGCTGGGATGTGGGGGGAGCATGGTAAGATTGTGATTTTAAAACAGTCTCTTATCATAGATTTCCTTTACCTGGAAGAGAGGACAAGGCTACATTCTCATTTCTGTGTTCTAGTACTGAAGTTAGGATTTTGCCCACTGCACAGGCTGAGGCTGGCATATTAAAGTAGGAGGAGACAGAGTTTAAATCAGAACCCAGGGCAGGACAAAGGGAGCCTGGGGTTATGTCTGAGGAAACAGCAGGGTTGACATAGCAACCCCCTACCCCACCCCGGACACCCCCATCCTCAGCTCCCTGTCTGGAGGAAATGCTGGGTCCTGAGATGGGGAAACAGGGGTCAGTGATGGTCTTGGAGTTTTGGTATTTGAGGAAAATTCCTGGTGTGGAGTGGAGGTTTAAGAGGGCAAACTCTAGGCATCCAACCCTGAGAGAACCAGCAGGCAGGAGTCTAAATTTCTTCAGCAAATGGAAGTTGAGGACTCTAGGTTGGTAAATTGATTTCCCAGAAAAAGACAGGCATAGAAGGGAAATGTGTGATACACACGGAGACCCCTCAGTTTGGAGACGGGGGTGCTTTATATGCTTCATACAGAGCCCCTGCCCCGCGAATGCCTGTGCGCAGTTTAACCTCCCTTTGCAGTTATTCTTGAGGTGCTCCGTTCTGTGAGTTCCAGGACAGCCAGGGCTGTCACACAGAGAAATCCTGTCTAGAAGAACAAACCAACCAACCAACCAAACAAACAAAAAGATGCTCTGCTGACTCATTGTCCAAGTAGGCAGGACCCAGAAGTCTTTCAGCTGGGACTCTCTGAGAATAAAAGCCCCCTAGGGTTGGGCAGGTCAGGGCCCTTTGCGTGCAGGAGAAATCTCACGTGGTTGTGTTGGGTTATTTTTCTTTTGATCATTTTTTATTAGTTTGTTGAGAATTTTGTACAGTGTATTTTGATCATATTTTAGGCATAGTTACCCCCACTTCAAAACTCCAACCAGACCCTCTCTATCCCACCCAACTTTGAATGTTCTCTTTAAAAAAAAAGTTTGTTGTTGTTTTGTTTGTTTTTCTAAACAGGGTCTCTCTGTGTAGCTTTGGAGACTATCCTGGAACTAGCTCTCTAGACCAGGCTGGCCTCGAACTCACAGAGATCCGCCTGCCTCTGCCTCCCGAGTGCTGGGATTAAAGGTGTGTGCCACCACTGCCTAGCAAAAAGGAAAAACAAAACAAAACAAACAAACAGCAACAACAACAACAACAAAAAACCCCACACTAAGTACAATTTGTCCTTTCGGGGATATTCTTGTCGTGCTTCGCTCCGTCTCTTGAACTCTTTACTCAGAAGGAAGCTTCCGTCAGGTGTCCAGGAGCCCCGTGGAGGCGGGGTTCACTCAGTCCCGGCCCCTCTAAGCAGGGCGGGGTTCCCTCCCGACCGCCCGTCCCGAGGCTCCGAGATCCCTAGAGACCGCGTCGTCCCAGCCTGAAGCGCCACGCGGGGTCAGATCGCGGGCTCCGGGGTCTCCGCTGCCCGCGCCGCCCCAGGGCTGACCGCGTCCGTCCGCAGGGGATTTCGTGTACCAGGTCAGGGGCCTGTGCTACTACACCAACGGGACGCAGCGCATGCGGGGTGTGGACAGATACTACTACAACCGGGAGGAGTTCGTGCGCTACGACAGCGACGTGGGCGAGTTCCGCGCGGTGACCGAGCTGGGGCGGCCCACAGCCGAGTACTGGAACAGCCAGAAGGACTTCATGGAGCAGAAGCGGGCCGAGATGGAGACGGTGTGCAGACACAACTACGAGGTGCCGTTGGCCGTCACCTCCTTGCGGCGGCGTGGTGAGCGCAGGGCGGGTCCGCGGGAGGCGGCGGCCATTAGGGGCGTGGGCCTGAGGGGGACACCGCAGCCAGGGTTCCCAGCGGTAGGAGCTGCCACAGCCTCCTCCCTGTTTACCCTGCCCCAGCGCCTCCTAGAGTCTCCCTCCTTCCTCACCTTTGTCCTTTGCCCTGTGTCCTGTGAGGCCCAAGCTCCCCTCTGACCGCGGTTGTGCTGTGAGCTGTGCAATCAGGCCATGGTCAAGCCTACACAGGGAAGCTAAACGGGGGAGAGACCACGATTCTGTAACGATGTGTTTTAACTTTTGGCGTCCTGTAATTATTCAACTCCATTTTATTTCCCTGATTGTCCCTTCGAGGCCGAGGTTATCCTGTGCGACTGGTGGTTGGCTGCCTGGCACTGACCTGAAGTCATAACTGTTGTGTTCTCCGTGCTTTGAGGTAGACTGTGCTGACTTGGACCATACTAAAAGTTTGTGATACAAAATCTGAGGGGAAAAATACTTAAAAAAAAAAAAAGACAAAATGTTAGGGGAAAATACAAGAGAAAAAAAAAGCCCTGGGCTGGAGTTACGGACTGTTCTAGAAACTGAACTCAGGTCCTCTGCAAGAGCTGCAAGTGGCCCTAAGGCCAGCTCTCTCCAGCCCCAGGCTTTCTTTCCCGAGGGGAGGACGCCTGTGCTTTACCTACCCCAATCCTAGAACTGTCCTGGAACTAGCTCTTGTAGACCAGGCTGGCCTCCAACTCACAGAGATCCGCCTGCCTCTGCCTCCCGAGGGCTGGGATTAAAGGCGTGCGCCACTACCGCCCGGCTCTAGAAACTAGCAGTTCTTTAGGGGTTCCTGGCTCCATTTCATCCTGGATGAAACCGTTGCTATGTGGGCATCATTACTTCAGCCCCTTTCAGGAGACAGTGCTGGGATTGCCCTCTGAAGCTTTCACGCAAGCCGAATCTGGTGGGCATCACCTTCCTTGGCTCATTTCTACGTCTGACACAGTCCCTGATACTCCAAGAGCCTCTTAGATGCCAATTAAAGGGTCGTGTGAGACATCGGGTTCATACTGTACATCACGACTAATGCTTAACACAAGGTTGCTTATGTTTTCCCCTCTTGCTTTCCCTTGTTATTCAGCTGAAACAGTCCGCTGTTCTGTCCTGTAGGCAGTTAAGTCCTCACAGCAAGGGAGTGCAGTGATGGCAACAGTAATCAACACACTTCACTATGGAAAGAATACAGGGGGGAGGAGAGAACATAGGGTGTCCTCAATTCATGAAGCACTGTAGTGCACGCTGTTTTCACCCAGAATGGATGAAAGGGAATGCAGGGAGAAGGCTTCTGAGGTAGTGGGCACGGTGTGTACAGTCAGTCGGGAAAGACACTTTCCAGCTGTGCATGACGATCTGAGGAGATGAAGGCAGTGATGTTGTGCTGGAGTTATTTATGCATTTCTTTTTCAAAAATTATAAACTTAAAATCACAATCATTTTTTCTTTTGTCTTAATACATTTCATGTTACATAAGAGCAGGGCCACTGTTATTTTCCTGTTGACTGCTAATGTTGTATTTGTGGAGTGGATCTTCATTCAGTGTTAGAGCCCAGGCAATCCCATCCCACCTCTTCTCCATGGGGACCCTCCATGTGCCCCCATCTCACTCACCGTCTTTTCTCCTCTGTTCCCCAGAGCAGCCCAAGGTGACCGTCTCCCTGTCCAGGAAGGAGATCCTCAACCACCACAACAGGCTGGTCTGCTCGGTGACAGATTTCTACCCGGCCCAGATCAAAGTGCGCTGGTTCCGGAATGGCCAGGAGCAGACGGAGGGAGTTGAGTCCACACAGCTTATTCAGAACGGGGACTGGACCTACCAGGTCCTGGTCATGCTGGAGATGACCCCTCAGCGGGGAGACGTCTACACCTGCCACGTGGAGCACCCCAGCCTGCAGAGCCCCGTCACTGTGGAGTGGAGTAAGGGAAACTTTTATTTCACTGTGGGCCCCACATGACATGGGCTGTTTGCTGTTATTACCCCATGTCTCTCTGATGACATTGCCCTACCCCTCCAAAGTCACCCACCCCATCCCTCCAGTGTCACCTGTCCTGTCAATTTTTCTGCAAAGTCTGATTCCACTACTGAGTTGAGAATTACAGGAAACCAGATCTCTTGTTTCACAGTAAGGGCATCAGGAGAACCCTGACCTCATTGTCTTTCCCGACAGGAGTTCTGGGAGATCACTGCATACACTGGGAACTCGTCCCTAACATCCAGAGGAATCGGCAGTGATAGCTAGTGCCTGGGTGTTTGGGCCTGAGATTATAGCTATGTCACTCACTTCTGTGCTGGCCACCCCTGCCCTCCCTCCCCCTCACTCCTGAGCTCTAGGTCTCTCATCTGCCCTTCCTTGCCTTGGATAGGGTCAGAACAGAGAACTGGTCCTTCCAGCTTCTTCACCTCATATGACTCAGGCTGGACTTTAGGCTCTCAGTCAGGGCTGTTGGGATGTGCGGGGACAAGGCTGACATCCAGGTTCTGCTCCCCAGGCGCACAGTCTGAGTCTGCCCAGAGCAAGATGCTGAGTGGCATCGGGGGCTTTGTGCTGGGGCTCATCTTCCTTGGGCTAGGCTTTTTCGTCCGTCACAGGAGCCAGAAAGGTGAGGACCCTGGGACACTGGCGTGGTAGGCAGTGCTGAGGAGAGGAGCTGGGCTGGGGGTGATGGGCTGTGCTGGGGGGAGGAGCTGTGCTGGGGGGGAGAAGCTGGGATGGGGGTGGGAGGACACGGGAGACCCCAGGGAGGACACAGAATCCAACTTTGCTGGCTGAGTGACTGTGCCACAGCCGTGCTGGAGTTCATTCTGGGACTTCTGTTACTGTCCACTCTCACTGCCTCCCTTCCAGAATTCCCACCACTGAGAGGGCATGGACCTTGTTTTCCTTCCTTCTGGTGGCAGCTTCATCCATTATGTGTGTGTGTGTGTGTGTGCCGGGGGGATGCTCAGGGTCTTAGTGAACTCATGATGAGAGAACAGCTTCAGCTAAGCGCCACGTCCTGTTGTCCCTTGGGCTTTGTGAGCAAGTCCCTGTTTCTATAACAAGACCTTTCATTATGTGACTTTTTTTGTAGGACCTCGAGGGCCTCCTCCAGCAGGTAATATTTTATCCTTTATCTGGAGGGGGTACAAGTGTGTGGGGGGGTACAGGTGTAGGGTTGTGGGTGTTAAGGAAGGGCATGAGGCGGTGTACCTGCCACAGTCCTGGTTCATAGCCTGTCTCTGCTGTGGGGTTGAGATTGTCACAGCTGGTGTCTTTAGCTCCAGAAGTTGTTCCTAAGCAGGACTTGGCCACCACCACTTGAGTGGCATCTTGAGGGGAGCCTGAGCCATGCCTTGAGTTTAGACACCAAGATATTGCCTGCTCTGTGCCCCACACTGGAGTCATAACCTTGGGAGTTAATGGTGGCTGGAAAAGACTGATAGTTCCTGCAGAGGAGACGGATCCCTCCAACTTACCCACAAGATCCTTCATATTCCCTGGGGGTGGTGGCTTCTTTTCCACCTCCCACACGTTTGTGTCCTGTGAGCTCTGTGCCCCCTTTAGCCGCCTTCACCTCTGCACAAGTGATGGGGAAGGTGGTGGCAGGGCCTGGACACAGCTTTCTTTGTCTAACTCAGCAGAATCCAGGAGGAGAGTCAGGCATCTCCAGGACCTTTTGTGACCACTCCCTCTCTCTGTCTCACAGGGCTCCTACAGTGATTCCTGGTGTTCTGGCTGAGTTGACTGTCACACTGTAGGGCCTGTCCCTGCCCTCAGTTCCCATCTGCCCCAGCCTGCCTGTCCCTCTCTGATTCAGAGTCTAGCACTGTGCCAGTGTGCTCAACAACTCTGCTCTTATGATCCCTGACTCCCCAAGCTCTGTCTTTGGCTCTGCTCCTGGGCTGATTCCAGAGACCATGTGTACTGCAGCACGATCTGCTCAGACCCCCAAACCTTCTGTTTCCATTGTCCCATAGGACTGCTGAAGAGATGCCCTGAATACATTTCCTTCTTTTCATAATTAAACATATTCTGAATTATATGTATCCTGAATCTTTCTGAGCAGGAATGGGTGGAAGTAGTGTGGACAAGGTGACCTGTTGGAGTACCCTGCACCTAAGGTTGCAGTCTACTGTGTCTGGACAGCTCTCTGGGCTTGGGGCAAAATGAGGGAGAACCCTCTTTCCAGTAGGACTCCCTCCCTACCTGGATAGTGCCTGACCTTATCTGGAAGCTGTCCTTAAGCGTGGATGCCCGACCCACCTCAAGCGTGACCTTTGACACACATCCCTGGAGATGCTTTCCCCCTGCTGTCATATAATAACTAGGTTTTGTGCTCCAGCTGTATGGTAGGACCATGCTGCCAAACACAAATTAGATGATGCCCAAATGATGGTCCCATGTTGTGTATCTCCCTTGCTATGGAATAAAGCTGAGCTGTAATACTGAAGCAGTCTCCTGGAAAGCTGTCTCTGCCATACTCACAGGCTGTACAGAGCCTTGCTTGCCATTTCTGCCTCCTTTGCCCTCATGGCCTAGTGGCCAGCTGATGAAGGGGAAGAAGGGAACTCACAGTGACCCAGCTAAACTGTGGCCGGAGGTAGTGGTTTATGCTATGAAGGCATTTGGAAGCATCCTGGGCTCCATGTAGGGGTGGGCTGAGGAGACAGGCCCCTGCTGTCACGTCTTGATGGCCTGGCTTGTACTTTTGCTGTTTAGTGCACTGTTCTCTTTCACCGCAGCCCCTCTCAGGTTGGTGAGGACAAAGCAACAAAACATCATAGAATTGTTGGGGACAGATGTCGTAACGTCTGATCACCGGGTTCCAAATGCGTCCTACGAAGTCACATTGGAACAATTTTCATTTTTTAAAGATCACAGTCAATAATAAAAGTATCTTTTGTGGTTGCAAATGACAAACACACAACTCAATCCTGTTTTGTTGATGGAAGGAAGCTGGGACTGGTTTCAGAAGTGACTGGATAGAGCTGATGAGAGTCGTCTGTCCTCAGTGTCACCGCCATCTGCCCGATCTCCTTCACTGCATCTCCTTGTCCCGTGTGTGTCTATATGGTGTGCGCTCTCCCTCTTTGTCTCTTGTTTCTCTTCTGTATTTCACTGAACAGAGCCTTTTCTCCATTTTTCTGTCCACACCTTTGTCATTTGTTCTTTTCTCTTGCTTTCTTTCGCATCTCTATTTTCCGAATCTCTCCTATTACCTCAGATCTTATCTCTCGGTGTGTGTTTCTGACTCTGTTGTACGTACCAATTGTTGTGGCACAGGTATTGGGCTCAAGTAGGTCTGTGGAAAGAAGACTCAGAGGCACCTTTAGAATGACTTTAGCCTTGACTGCAAGGTGGATCCATCTCTAAGAACTGAACTCTTTCCTTTCACCTGGAGCTTCTTTTATTCTTCTCCAATTTACATTTTAGCAAGTTGATTTCCATATCTTCAAAATAACCGGAGGAAGCTTCCAAAAGGACAATGCCAGGAGGTACCATGGTTTTCCAGGTTTCCCCAACCAAGTTTTGTATAGGCTTTGTATCCTTGGGAAACTCTCAGGCAAGATTCACCTTGGGAGACAAGAGAAACAAAAGGTATCTGCTAAACACAAGATGGATTGGACTAGGTGCTAGCACCTTTTAGTCCTACAACCAATGCTTTGACAATTTTAGGGAAATCATTACTGACTGATGTGAGCCACAAGTGCTATATAGCAAAAGTATAGCTGACAGACCATCAGATAGACTCACAGGAGTCTATACTCTGAGAACAACCTGATTTATAGAGCTTCGGGAACACTCATCTGTAGCAAGCTGCGTGGTATCACACCTGATGGTGATGTATAATCAACTCCTGAGATGGCTAAGGCCTGACCTATGCTATGATCACGCAATGATTATCAGCTGCCTGCATATGCGTGAACCTATGGGCAGTGCCCACCTGGCAGTTCAGGGTTGGCAGCCCATGCCTACTTAAGGGCTGGGAGAGGTTTGCCCAAGGAGAGAGGTCAAAGAGAGAGGAAAAAAGGAGAGAGGAGAGAGGTCAACGGAGAGAGAGGGGAGGAAAGGAAGAGAGAAAGAGAGTGAATAAAGTCCTGGAATAAACTGCAGTGAGAAGAGCTCCGGTGGTCGCTTCATTCCTTGCGGGACGAGAGTGGCCGTGACACTCATCTTTTGAATAGTCACTGTCAATTCTGTTTTGTTTTGTTTTTGTTTTTTGAGAGAGGGTTTCTCTCTAGCCATGGCTGTCCTGGAACTAGCTCTTGTAGACCAGGCTGGCCTTGAATTCACAGAGATCCGCCTGCCCCTGCCTCCCAAGTGCTGAGATTAAAGGTGTGTGCCACCACTGCCGGTGTCACTGTCAATTCTGTAGAAATCTTGTGAAATTAAGATGTTTCTCCCTCCCATAATGGGGCTCATCCAAAATATCCCACCATTGTGTAAGTTATCCATTAAACCTGACTTTTCCTGTGTTGGCAACTGGATGTCTTCTCCAATACTGTGGGGCCCTGCTGTGAAAGCATGAACTCAGTCAAACCTTTGTTCTAATTGTCAAATCTACATAAAGCCAGTCCCCCACAATTATCCTTATTGACAGGGCTCATTGAAAAGAAAGGAGCCCTGAAAGGAGGCACAGATCAGAGAGAAAGTATGACTGCTTTTATTAATAAGCAGGTCTGGGTGGCCCTAAATTCTCTACAGGCAGACTTAGGCAGGTATAATCTACTAACTGTAATGGATCATTAAAAATTGCTGGGGGAATCCCAGAGGGCAGTGGGAAGCAGGTCCCAGGCAGGGCCAGGGCATGAGACCACACAGCAGGTCTCTGAAGGTGGCTGGTCTCTGGCGGTGTTCCATGTGGGTGGTGGGTGAGAGACAGACAGGCACACCATGTAGAGTAAGGTTGGATATTTATTTAGTGGTTGTGGAAGGGAAAAGGGGAGAAGGGCAGAGAAAGAGAGAGAAAGAAGCAGGAGAAGGGGAGAAGTGGGGAGAGGCAGAAGCTGCCTCTTCGAGAGGAAGATGAAGAAGAGAGACTAACACTAACCATTGCTCTAACCCAACCAGCTATTAATATTCTATATTTACCCTTTACCTTGGTTTCAATTAACATAAGATCATAGCCCAGGAGATTAACTAGTTATGCTTTTATCCCTAGAGATAAAGAAAAAAGGCCTGGGTCACTAAACAAGCCCCAGAGAAAGAAATTCTTTCTTACCTGGGTGCCAGTAGAGACAGCACCAGGATACTTGGCCTTGGGGGCAGGGCAAGCTCCATCCTAATCCTCCCAGTATCTCCTGGGGAACTTCACAGGCATGCCCATACGGAGACATAAGGTGCCTACCTTACCAGTCTTTTGTTCATCCTGTTAACCCTAAAAAATACATGCATGTTAACTATGTTAACTATATACACTAAAGCATTGAGATGGGAAGAACAGTGAAGGACAGCAAGAAGGAACTGTGAGGAGCATCGAAAGGGAAACAGCAAGAGAGCATTGGAGAGAGCATAGGAAGAATAAATGAGACATGATCAAAAGGTTTATGTGGGATAATTATGTGAGTAATTTCATTTACTCTCAGATATCTAAGCCAGTGTTTGCCTGCTACAGCGATCCTGCTAAATCCTGAGAGGTTTAGTGGGGCTGAATCCCAACATAAACTTTGATAACTAACCAATGCTAGGCAACATAAACAGCATTGAAGAACAGTCATGTCCACAAGGATGTAAACAACAGGCATTGTACTTGTAGGAGCCAGCCATGGTACGCTAAATATCAACAGATATATAGGATTTAAAGTATTAAAGCTGCTGTAAATCCTGGTCTCTGGCCTCCAGCTTTGGAGGCCCTGCCCCTGTGCCCCTTGTACCTTGACCCCTCCCTGAGGAGGGTCAAGGTAGCCCACCAAACCCCCGTGGTCATGTTGCAGCTTTCCGGTTCCCCTCGGGACCACCTGAGAGTGCAGGAGTCCAATAAAACCTGAATATCTTTTAATTTGGTTTGTTTTGATTTGGCTTGGTTGGGATTTTTGCATTGGCAGAGAGCTCCTGTTAAAAAATATTCTTACCATCTTGGAGGTCCACCAGGCAGGGCAACCTACAGTCATGCATTGAGAGCACCCTTGTACACAACCCAAGCTCTCCACGCCAGGCTAAAACTGTGTCCTGGACTACAGTGGCTGCGTCTTGGTGAGTCCCTTTTTCTTGTCCACGCTACAGGGTTTTGGGGAACCCATTCATGTTTACTTTTTATTGATTATCGGGCTCTTGTGGAAGATGCGGGCCTCGCCAATAGTCTGATCTCAGTAGCTAAGCCGGGCTTAGCTGAGGTGAATTTTGTTTGTTTTAGAGACACCTAGCATTCAATTTTCTTGGCCCCATTTTGGCCTAAGAGCTATTTTGACAGACGCGCTGTAATAGACTTAGGCCACGCAGTTGGGCATAGACTTTAAAATGGGCACTTGAGGTTCAAAGCCAGATCTGCCGTCGCCCCTGGGATGCCTCTTACAAAATCTTTATAAATTGGGCCAGTCCGACACACTTTGCCTCAAATGGCTAATTTCCCTATGCACTAAGATTTGGCCTCAATAAGATCTTGACAATGGGACATGTTGTCCACCAGAGGAAATCCTTGAGCTTACTGTCCTCCGAGGCCTAGAAAATTTTTGTTGCCATGGGGACAAGTGGACAGAGCTTACATCTGTCCATGGCTTTCCGGGTCTCACCCTTCCCTCAGTAGTCAGTGTCTCACAGCACCAGTCTTGGTGGCTAGGGTCGTGACGCCTCCAAATTCCCAATCATCTGGGAATTGGGACCCCAATAATTCAGCTGGAGGCACTGGCCCCTCCTCCACTCCCTTAAACCCTCACTACCCACCCTCTCCTGTGGAGCAACATTCTCTGTATTCCTCTCCTTCCCCATCCTCACCTACCCCCTCCCTAGCCAAACCTGAAGTTCAAGGTTAACATCTACCTTATTCCCCCTTCCTCTCCCCTCTCCTCCTCCTACCTCATCTCCCCATCCTTGGACCCCCTCTGCACACTGCGCTAGCCCCTCCCAATCCTCCCCAGTCTCCTCCTATACCAGATCCCACCATAGCTCCACCCTTCTCTGCCCTCTCTGGGAAGTGGTGGGGATCAATGACATTATAAAAGTTCATGTTCCCTTTTCTCTTCCAGATCTCTCTCAGATAGAAAAGTGGCTGAATTCCTTTTCTACTAATCCTTCTGCTTATATTAAAGAGTTTTGTTACAGAGATGAGTCATTATAGTTCGTTGCCTCCTTCAGGGTATGGAAATGGTCTTGAAAAAGTAGTTAATTTTGACAAACTTCGAGAGATTACACAGCTAGCAGATGAAAATCCAGCCCCCCCCCCTTTTTTTAAATCGGTTACAACAGACCATGGTCCAA